CAAATAAGGTATTTTTATCTTTTTCACTACAAACTAATATAATAGTAATATTTAAAAATCGATTACTCATTGTATGGGACAAAGACGGTATTATTTTCATTTTATTTACTCCATCTGTCCCATATAATTTGTCAATTATTTCTATTATCATTCATTCCACATAATTTGTTATTTTCTTATTCGGAAATATAATTATACATTTTAACCACATTTTAAAATTTATAATTTTTTATTTTAAGTAAACTACGTAGTTATTTTAATCTTAATTTATAATTATTTTTATTAATATATTTTTTAATTTTTTATAAATTATATATTCCCCGTCCACCTCTAAGGATCACATTTATTTTTTTCGTCATTATATTTAATATTAAAAATATCTTTTACATTTATATAATTTGTTTGTACAAATCTCATTCTATTAGTATTATAAGACACTAATATAAGTATTTTTGTAATTTTTTTCTTAATTTATATTATATTTTAATATAATAATTAATATTCAAATATCAACTTATAAAAAATAAACTTTGAGATGAACAAAAATAATAATACTTAAAACTCGGTGCCACAATTTAAGAAGACAAATTAAGGGTGTGTTCGTTTAATAGGATTTTGATAAAATCCTATTATTCATCTAAAATTTTTTTCTCAAAAATATCAAATTAAATACCTATTTTTTTATTTTTTATATTATACTAAAAATTAATTTTACATTCAAAACATTACATCAACACCTATTTATATCACATCATACAATTATTCAAATCCCAATTCAAAATCCAAACCCAGAATAACCACACCTATGGAAAGGAGGCCATATTACTTTTTATAATTTCTCCAAGTAAGCGTGGAGTTGACCGGGACTTGATGCCGTTATCGGAAGGGGACCCACATAAGAAATACAAATTCACACACGCCCGCTTTATACATATTATCATTATTATTATTAAATTGTATTATCAATTATTTATTCTGCAAGTTGTCTGGCTGTCTCCTGCTGGCCACCTTATTTGACTCGCCAAAATAACCACCGATTTTACACTCACCAACAATTACTGAAAATTTATAATAATAATAATTATTATTATTATAATAATTATAATACTCCCTTCATTCCGTGCAAGTGCAAAGTTGTTGTTTATTTTTTTATATATAAATTTTTTAATATAAACTATAGTGAAAAAATAAAAATATTTTTATTAGTATTATATAATATAAAATTAATGATATTTATGTAATATAGCATAAATTAGAAGCATATTTATTATATTAGATAGGCAGTATAATTATTAAATTAAAAAATGATAAATTTGTTTTGGAACGGACGAAAAGTAAAAATTGACGACTTTTCAATAGCACGAATTGAGTAATAAACTAATACTCTTTCCGTTCCAATACAATAATCTTGTTTACCATTTTTGTTTGTTTAAAAACAATAGGTTTTATTTCATAAATATATCACTATAAAATTACCCATATTTTTTTATTTTGATTACAAAATTCTTATTATTTTTTTACACTAATACACTTACAAAAGTAAAAAAAAATTATTTATATTTTTTTATCAACTATTAATATAATATTAATATTTTTTAAATCTCATGTACTACCCAATTAAAACTATATTTATGAATAGGAGGGATTAATAAAATAAGCTATCTATCAATCTATTTATCCTCTGGGGACGTCCCCACCATGTGCATTTCCTCAACTTGCCTACACAAATCTCTCTCCTCCTCCCGCCAAACTCTGAAAAATTTGGTGTGTTATCCCGAGGGTATAGATTTTTGTTTAAAATTTAAATATTAAAAAATTTGAATAAAAAAGATTATACTGCTTCCGTCCAATTTCTATTGTTCTATATTATATTTGCACGATTTTTTAGGTGATTGTCTTTTTGTTATGAATTGACAAATTCGTTCTTAATTGTATGGTAGAGATAAAAAGTAATAAATGAATGAATGGTAAAAATGTAAAATTTGTGTTTAAAAAACGAAATAGGACAATAGTTTGTTGGACGTCGCAAATAGAAAAATAGGATATTAGTTTAAGGACGAAGGGAGTATAATATTATATAAATAGATATTAAATAATATTTTGAATATAAAATTAATATTTAGCATAATATAAAAAATATGTATTTTATTTTTTATTTTCGAAAAAAAAAAGATTTAGTGAATGATAATAACAGAGGTAATTTTTTCTTTACATTATTATATTTATTTATTACTATTAAAATAGTAATACTATTTCTTAATTCATATGCAAAAAATAAATATATATGCCAGAACCGGACAAAGAGAGTATATATATAACAAAAAAAAAAAAAATGAAAGAATGAGAAAAGAAAAGAGATAGATGCGGAATAAAAATTGTTGAAAGTGAAATTTTAATTAACACGTGTGTTTGACAATTAATTAGTTGATTCAATTAATTGTTCGTGTTACAGTATTTGAAAAGACAATTAAGCGGCATAGAAAATCCAAAAAACGTTAGAGATTTGAACTCATAAATTTACGGTCACTGATACACTTTCCACCCCGGACACTTTGCCATGACTTTCACAAATACTTTCTCGATATATATAGACAAAATACAACTTAATTAATCATCATGCATAATGATAAATTACGTTGGTAATATAAAAAATAATATTTTGTATTGAATGGTTAACTTTTTATAAATGAATAATATATATTATATTAATGTGTGTATATTTTTATTTTTTTAATAATATTTATGAGAAATTGTTCAAATGGAAACATATTAAGGGTGTGTTTGGTAATTAGCTGATAGCTTTTAGCTATTAGCTGATTCAATTAGCTGGTTTGACTAGCTGATTTAATTAGCGGTTTGTATTGAAGTATTTGGTAAAACAACTGTTTGACATTAGTTGTTTATACATAAAATAACTATTAAGGATATTGATATGTTATTTTTTTAAATATTTAATTTTGTTCATTTTAGTTTGAAATTTATGATAATTTTTGTTATTAATTATTGAAAATTATAAAAATATTATAAAATATTTATTTATTTTTTTATTATTTAAATTTGAAATAATTATTTTTACTAAAAAATAATAATTTTTTATTGAAATTATGTAAAATATAAAATAATAAATCTTTCGTATATATATTTTTATTATGGTAAGCATTATTTTAATATATATAAATAAATTAATAACCTTAATTTTTTTCTATTTGATTTAGTTTTAAAAATTTATATATTTTACAAATAAAATAATTTATATGTAATAATTAATAATAATTATTATTTTAAAATTACAGAAATAAAAATATAATTTAATAAATTAAATATATTGAAAATAATTAATAAATATTGCTATAAAAATATATTTATATGTATAAAATAAATAATTAAGTTTTAAGGGTAAATAAAGAATAATGAAAATTAAAATGGAAAAACTCTTTCAAAACGCTGGGTAGATGAACTTTTCATAAATTAGCTTTTTGACCGGTCAAACTGCTAAAAACTATTCAATAAGTTAAAGCTCTTAAAAATGTTGTTCCCAAACACCCTCAAAGTCAACAAACTTATTATTATTATTATTATTACTCACTCCGTCCCAGATACCGTGTCTGCTACACTGTAGACACTGTATTTTAGGAGGGGTGTAATTAGTAGATAATTAAGAATGTATTAGTGAAAATAATTATCCTATAATATAAATAATTATAAATTAAGATTAAAATAATTAATTAGTTTAATTAAAATTTAAAAAAAATTAAAAAATTTAAAATGAGATTAAAGTGTGTAATCATTTTTCAAAAAAAAAAAGTGACGTGGTATGTGGGACGGACAGAAACGACAACGTGGACATGGTATTTGGGACGGAGGGAGTATTATTTAAGAAGTAGACTAAATTAGAATATCCTGAAGTTTAGGTACAGGCCTGAGTCCAAATGTCCAATTGCCAGTTTGGGCTTTTGGGCAATATCAGGCCTATCTCATTTATTTTTATTCTAACTGGTTGGCCCACTGTAATAATAAGACATAAATAATAATGAAAATACAATATATAAATTAATAACACATGATAATAATTACACATGACACAATATATTTATAAAATATGTTGTAAAATGTGAACGGACAATATGTATTAATTGAAATTATATTTTGTCCATATCTTTTATGCTGATTATGAATAATCAACAAATTGCTAATTATGTAAGAGTGTATGTACAATATGAGCGGATGGACAAAACTTGAATCAAATTAAATATATTAGACCATCTCCAACTCATTAACTCTATTTATCCAGTTATATCTGCAAATGTGCAGTTGCTACGGTAATTTTATTTCAACCATAACTCAATTTTTCTCTATTATTCTTCAAATATTCAATTTTTCTATTATATTAAATAATTTTTTATTTTTATAATTTTAAATAATTTTTTAAAAATTTTAAAAAATAAAATTTAAATTTAAAAATCAAATTTATAATTTTAAAAATTAAAAAAATTTTAAAAAATAAAACAAACACACCATAAATGACGTTTGCTACAGTGTAACACCTAACACCATTTTGGTGGTGTTGCACTGTAGCAAACACCAAAAGTGGTGTATGAATTGACGCTAGATTGGAGGGAGACAACGCCAAATATGGGGATATTTTGACATTGCATTGGAGATAGCCTTACATTACACAAATGCACCATATAGGATACTATTATTCTTTTTTTAAAATAATAATAATAATAAGGGTAAATTGCATAGTATTCATATATATATATATTTTATTATAAATGTATAAAATATCTTATATTTTATTTATTAAATAAAATTATTTTATGTTATATTAAAATATATACAAAATACTCTCTTTATCAAAATATTAACCTTACTACTTTGCATAATTAGATGCTTATTTAGAAACAACATCAATGTTTGAGTATAGATAATATTCTATTCATATTTTAATATAAAAAATTAAAATTCATACATTAAATAAAATACATGACATTTATATTTTTATAATAAAACACACGGAGTAATATACAATATACTCTAATAATAATAATAATATAATCACACTAAAATAAACAATGTCATATACATACACGTCCATAGGACCATATATCAATATCTATATGTATTCTTGTATATGCATATAAATATATATATATATATTAATAGTTAAAATCCACCACCTAGAAGGGAAAACGGATACGCCGGCGCCGGCGGGCTGTCGCGCTCTTCCGTCGCCGCCGCGCCTTCCAAATACTTTCCGTTGACACCACCAGCGGCATTGCGCCGGAGAGTGAGATTACCGGGATAACCATTTCCGGCGTGGCTGAGCTCCGGCGAGTCGAGCGCCGCGACATAACCATAATTACGAATTTCCCGACCGACAAATCCATCCGGCGACCCGGAAGATCGGCGATAGCCCCGATCGTCGTCGACCTTTACCGTCGGGGACGAGATCGGCGTAACCGGGTTGCATTCTCGATCATCCTCGCTCTTCCCCGATGAACCCGACAGAGCCATTCCCGACGAAGAACTCGACGTGGCAACGGGGATCGCGATCTTTCTCCGCTTGTCGACGTTTTTGACGGGAATCCTCTGCCGTGTTTCGTCGTTATCGAGCATCATTCGCGGCAGAATCTCGGGGTCGCGGACAACCTTGTAGAGGAACGACATCATTTGTTGTGGCCGTCTCTCAGTGGCCTCGAGTCGGCGGTTCATGCTCTCGAGCTCTTGTTCTAATCCCTTCTGCTCGCGCTTTAGTTTCGCGATCTCCGCCAAAAGCTCGTCATCGTCGTCTCGCTCGTCGTTGCCGTCCCGGGTCAACGCGTTGTTGCCTCTGCTCGAGTGTTGCTTTCGTCGCACGATGTTGGGTAATAGGTGCATTTGTCCACGGAGAAACCACTCGTTCGCGAACTCCCACCTGTCTGGATCGACTTTTCGGAACCCCTGTAATAACAATCGAGCGAAGACACCGATTTAATAATCGATCTCGGAGGTGTAACTAAAATACAATACGGGTCGAGGTTCCGAGACGAAACGTTTACTCAATTCGAGTTATGTTTCGATATTCAAAGTCGAGAAATACGAACAATTACAAATAAATATACAGAAACCAATACGTTCTACCGATTGGTCGATCGAGAAAGCAATTAAAGAACTTAATCTAGAGCTTACGATTGTTTCTAAAGTTCGTTCATCTACTCACCGTAATTATCCGATGTTCAATGGAAAAACCATAAAGCTCTGTTTATATAAATACTTCTGGAACTTTTGACGCTATTTATCAATAGTAATTTTTTCAAAAAAATATCACATGAAATACCTTTAGATCTCACAAAATATCGCATCAAATACAACTTTTTTTTATTCCCAAAACTCCAAAACTTCTTATATAAATGGAGCCTTTTTCACAGTTCAATAAACAACTCACTGTAAAAAGCCGCGGATGTTCAATTGAAAACAATTCTGTTTACGTAGATACTTTTAGAATTTTCGGCACTATTTATCAACAATCTTTTCAAAATATTGTATTGAATATCCAACTTTTTACTGTTATCGAAACTCCAAAACTTCTATATAAATGAAGCCTCTTCATAGTTCAATACGCCGGAACATAATGTTAACTGTAGCTACAACAATAAGGTCGATGTTCCTTTCGAGCTAGTAGTCTTCTGATCACAAATTCAGTCAATTTTAAGGTATTGAAATCACAGAGTGTACACAAAACATCGATTTGCACTGCTGTAAACTAGATAATTTTGCAGCCATTGTTATTCGTGCAACCAAAAGCTCAAATAAGATGTTCTTACGATTCAAATAGGCACGATTCTTGCTATACAACTACCTACGAAAGCATACGAATTAGATGGTTTATGGTTCTATCTAATTATACTCAACATTAGATCATATCTCTGCAGCTATGTTGATGACATTACAGTAGCTTTTTCATGGTTAGATTCCATTTTCATGGAAGTTTTCAAATCTCTCTTGAACTAATTAAGAACAGCTTCACCTCCATTTTCATGGAAAAAACAGAGACTGAAATTCCCAGGTTCACATGAATTGCTAAAACCTAACCTCAATTCCAAAAATTCAGCTCAATAATCAGCAAAGATGATCAAATAACCAATCTCTAACCTTAAACCCTAAACCCTAAATCACAGGTCAAACCAAATTGATTTACAGAGAAGATTAAATCGAGCTCAGAAATGGCAGCTGAAAATCAATCGAACAACAGTACTCACATAAGTATTGAGCTGACGCACAAAGCTGGAGAAGTTGTTGTGCTTGAAGTAAACAGGCAAAATCCTCTGCGAGAAAACCAGAGGCTCCATAACTATGAAGCTGTTGTTGCCTGCGCTCCAAGCAATCAGGACGTCGGTCGAAGGATCGGTAACCATTTGGTAAGTTTTCATCACGAAAGGCGCGATTAAATTCCCTCCGCCATTATTCCCCTCCGCCACTCCACCATGAACAATCGCCTGCATCATCTCGAAACCCTAATTGTTCACCACAGCGACAAATCCGACTCGATTGGACGCCCAAATTTATAATAACAATAAAGTAAATAGAGTGGGGATAGTGGGAAGGAGGTGAGGGGTCATGTACAGTGCGAGATGTAGTAACGTGGAGCTTCTACAGACGAGGCTTGATATTTCATGGCGGTCCTACAACTCCTCTCCCTCGCCTTTTGCTGGCTTGATATTTTGCTGGCGCCTGCAGGATCGAATTGAATTGAATTGAGCTTAATTTGTGAATTTTGGGGAAGATGATGGGTGGATGATGTTCTTCCTTCCTCCTGCGAGTGTTCTCCAATTGCTTGGCTGAAATGGTCCAGGTTTGGGAAAAGTGTCTCTGCGCTGCGACGTGTCGAGAGTTGCAGGGAAGATGGTGACCTTGATGAAGCCGACCGTACAGCCAAATGGAATCGGGTTCGGGTTCAGATTCGGGTTTGGGGCCCCGCAATCATTTTGCGTTTCGGTCCCTGTACTCTTGCGGTTTTATTGAATTTGGCTTTATTTATTTGTTTGTTTCGGAACGTGTTGTAATAAAATTGATGCATAGGTACAACCAACTTTGCTAGATTATGTTGGAGAATTTATTTTTAAATTATTTACTTTTTTTTTCTTTTAATATACTCCCGTCCCCTAAGAAGATTTTTATTTGTGTTTTGCACATATTTTTTTTTTATTATTAGTGTTATAATAGTTTGTAATAGAAAATACAAAATTATTTTTATGTAATACTCCCTCCGTCCGCTTACAAAGTTTACATGTTTTTATTTTGGGACGTCCAATTACAAAGTTTATATTTCATTAAATACCCTACTTTTTTCCACAAATACCACTACTTTACATCACATCATTACTTTTACACAAAAAAGTAAGGGCAAAAATGTCATTACACTATTTTTGACTACTCACTATAATTAAAATACTATTATTTCTTAAACACTGCGCCAAAAGTAAATGTAACCCTTGTAAATGGACAGAGGGAGTATAAAATAATATATTTGTGTAATAAATTATAAATTATAAAAATATTTATTATGTTAAGAAAATAGTATCCTTGTTTTGCCACTGACAAAAATAAAAAATTATAATCTCTCCGTTTACCATTTTTCATTTTCGTTCGTCACAAAACAAGGTTATCATTTCTAATTTAGTAATTGTATTATTTACTTCACATAATAAATACCCTTTCAATTTACAATATACTACACAAATTTCATTACTTTTATATTACACCATACTGATAGGGGTATTTTTGTCTTTTTTACTACAATCCAATATAATACTAATATTAAAAAATCTATGTGCAAAAAGCAAACGTCACCCTTCTTGCGAGACAGAGGGAGTACTATTATTACAGAATAGAAGAAGTATATATTTTTATTATCTCATATATTTTTTTATAAAAATATACTACTATATTTTTTAGTAAAAATATTGTACTAATAAATTATAAGTTGTAAGAGAATTTTTATTGTCCTATCAAAATATTCTTTTTAAAATGTTAAATTAGACATATATGTTTTATTTTTTTATATAATATTAAAAAATCAAATTAGTACCTATATTTCAATATCTAAAAGGCTTAATCTTATAATATCATCTTGTCTTTTACTAAAAATGCACAAAATATTTTATGTTCTACTTATTATGTGAAATATTCTTATGTTAAAGTACACAAAATATTTTATTCGTTTAAAATTGATTTTTTTGCTTGTAAACACATAGCTAATTATATAAGTTTTATACATATAAAAAATTTAAAATATCTTAAAAGTATTTTTTTGAATAAATAAATAAAATTTCAATCATCCATTTAATAATTTTTAGAGATAAATTTTTAGCTAATTTTTGCAAAAAAATAAAATAAAATAAAATTATAAAATAAAAAATCGATCAATTATTTTAAAATTTTATTCAAATAAAACTATTTAAGAAATTTTTTTATTTAAGATATTTAATATATTTTATTTGTATAAAATTTAAGTGTGTGATCAATTATCAACTTTGGACGAAATGAAATATTTTATCCATAATTTAATTTAACATAAAAATATTTTATGCAATAAATAAAATATAGATCTTTTTTTTTATAAATTTTTAGTAAAATACAAGGGCATGTCTTGCAATTTACCATATTTAAAACTCGAACCTTGTTCACTTTTTAATGATCGAGAAGTGCCGGCGACACGTAACGATAAAAGGGACGTTAAAATGCAATTAAATAATTATTGTGGACCAAAAACAAAGAGACATTGGTGGTCAAGGACATCCAATGAGCATTGAGATGAATTGTTGAGTGATGATCATAAAATAACAATGGACCATCCTATGAAATTTAAATGCTAAATATATATATAAATAAATTAAATTAAAACTATTTTATCACATGGATTAGAGTTTTATTTAAACAAATTTTTAAAAGTATTTTACAATTTTTGATTGATTTGATAATATTAAAGAATTGATTTAAAAAGTACTTCATCCGTAATTTATCCTTATTTTTTATTTTTGTTTGTCCCACATAACTTGTTATTTCTTATTTGAAAATATGATTATTCATTTTAATAACATTTTAAATTTTATAATTTTTTAATCTTAATTTGAATCTATAATTATTTTTACTAAATAATAATTATTTCTACTAATACACTTTTTAATTATCTACTAATTATATTTTACCTAAATTCTCGTATATACAGTAACACGCCCAAAATATATGGGAAGGAGGGAGTATTTAAATTATGTGATGAAAAAAGTACTTGATACTATATTGTTTTTTTATATGTGATGTGTTTGTTTTGTAAGATTGGTTGAAAGAAATTTTTTTTAATGTGATATATAGGAAATTGTGTAAAAAAATATAAAAATAATAAATGTGTACAATATATTAGTTTTTTTGAAAAAATGTGTGCAGATAAGATATAAATACAGTGCAATCATTGGTGATTAAAAACAATAACAATAAATTTGTTTATTTTTAATTTAATTTCAATTTCATTTTATTATTTAATTATCATTATTTATGAAAAATATATTAATTTTTCTAAAAAAATATCAACCTTCAAATTATTACTCAAATAAAAGCTCATAATAATAATAATAATATCTCTTATTTAAATCTATGTTTATCTTTTAAATTGTCATAATTATTTTTTTCTGTTTTTAATTAAAACATAGTACTTACGCTTTATATTTTTACTGTAAAAAAATAATAATTATTACATATTTTCATTAAATTTTATAACTAAATATTTTTTTTTTTAAACACCCACACACACTCACACCCCCAACGGGTGAGGGATGTCTCACCCTTTGATCTACAATGGTTTGACATTAAATATTTGAGTACACGTCTAACTGATCTAGGGAGTAATAATAATAAAAAAAAAATATAGCAAAATAGTTCAATAAAAATCACGATAAAAACTTTATTTTTTCTTATAACCCCATTTATAATAATCCACTACTTAAAAAATTGCATTGAAGATCCATTTTTAATTTTCAAATAAAATTGAAAACATCCCAAAATACAAATTATGGTATCGCAAATAAAATGCTGTAATTTTCATGACCGTATGTTAACTTTAAAATTAATATGAGCATCTGATATTTCTTTAATAAATAAATAAATAATTATTTGTCACCCAATTGAAGTCTACAAAAAATAAAAATTTAATATATGGGGTGGGTATCGAGGGGTGGTTGGAGCTTAGGAAACATGTAATAAATTAAAGAATGAATGTGGGATTGCCACCTGTCCTTTCTTTTTTTTTTCTATATATATTATAAATAATCTTTTTTATCAAATGTGTACCTGTGTTACTGTGTAGTATTTGGTGTGCTTGTTTTTTATTTGAAAACAAAAATAGGGAAGAATGGTTCAAACATAACCAAAATTAAATACAAAAATTTTATCAATTTTGCTCTCAATATAATCAAAATTTATTATTTTTTGTTTCAATATAATCAAAACTTATCTTTTGTCTCAATATAATTAAAACTCATTATTTTTTGTCCAAATATAATCAAACTTTATCTTTTTTTTGTTTCACCGTCAACAAATCTGACGAAAAATGCTGACGTGGACTTGCAAGATTGTCCAATTTTTTCATAAAGTTTGCAGCAGGCAACAGTTCAACCTGTTGTAAGTCTTCCTGCATATTCGTATCCAGTTTGTTGACGGTGGGACCAAAAAAGATAAATTTAGATTATATTGGGACCAAAAATGATGAATTTTGGTTATATTGGAACTAAAATTGATAAAAAAATAAATTATATTGGGACAAAAAAATGATGAGTTTTGGTTATATTGGGACCAAAATTGATAAGATTTTTATATTGAGACCAAAATTGATGAATTTTTGTTATATTGAGACCAAAAATATTTTTTTCCCACAAAAATACCATTACTATTAAATTAATATAATTTTTATTAAAAATATTTATATTTTTTTATTGGAAATAATTATGTAATTTTTTTATCAGTTAAATTTGTATATAATTTATTTCTAATAAATAATTTTAATTTATTATTTATTACTTTAACAAATAATAATTAATTTGTCACAATTTTTTTTCTAAAATTTATTATTAACTCTCAATAACTTTCCTATAATATTCATATTTTAGTTTTTATCTACCATACTTTATATTAAAATATATTATTGCTTAGTATTCGTGTCCGGTATAAATAACCTAGACAGAGGAATATTATTTTATCTCACAAATCAAACTAATTGATTTTAAATATTTTATCGTAAAATATGAAAAATAGTTAAATTATCATAAAAAATGATGAGTATTTTATATTTTTGCTGGCTTTTATTATTTTATATATATTATAGTTTTAAATAATATTTTTGAAAACTTATGCATAGAAATCATTGATTGAACAAACTATATATTTTTGTAAAAATTTGTATAATTGAATAATTAAAAAATTGAAAACAACTCCAAGAATAGACATATGTGTAATGTTTTGAATTTTGTGTTTGAGATATTTCTTAAGTATGAAAAAAATATATCGTAATATAATAAATAATATTTTTATGTTAAATTATTAATTCTTTTAATAATATAATCCATATATTATATATTTTTATAATATTAATTAGAAACATATTGATTTCTTATTTTTATGAACAAATATAGCCTCTAAAAATTTGAATGTGATCATTTATAAAATAATAATAATAATATTTTATAAAAATGTAAATATTACTAACCTGTCATATCAATGGCTTTTTTTTTATATATATTTTATTCAAAAGTAATATTTTTATTATAGTAAAAGTAATAACATATTAATAGCAAAATACTTTTAATTTTTACATAAATTACAAACATGTCATTACA